TTCATATAGATAAAAACAGTCAGCTGTGTCCTAGGTCTCAGTTCAGTGAGATCCAACAGATCTCGCCAATGAGCTGCAGAAACTGAGCCTCAGAACACATCCCAGAATGCTCTGCAACACCTAGGATTCATAGAATCAAAGTATTGTAGAGTTGGAAGGGACCCAAGGGTCATCTAGTCCAACCCCCTGCAATGCAGGAATCCCAACTAAAGGATGAATGATAGGTGGCCATCCTGTCATGGCTTGCATTTTTAGGTACATTTTTGCTTTGAAGTGTAGAAATGCTTTCCATTCTATTGATTCAAGAAGGTTCTGGAACTTTCTCTCAAGGTCATGCAAACTATAAGAACAGGCCAGAAGGAGCCTGGCTTTCTCTCTCTCTTTTCTTCTTGGTTCTGTCTTTTGTTCCTGTGTGGTGATCTGTACGTAGTATGTTTAAGTGCTAAGGTTTTGCAGGAACTGGATTTGTAAGGACTATGCCAATCCCGTACAGCTGGATTTGTGAACTGTTATGCTCTTTTACCTTCAGTAAATAATACTGGATGAAGCAGATTTTCTCTGAAACTTTTTTGGAACCCTGCACTGTGTTTACTCTGCTAAACTATGGGTTGAGGTTTGCTCTGGATCATTATGGAGCAAAACCATGACACATCCAACCTCTGCTTGAAAACCTCCAATGATTCCATGGAAGACATGCAAGACTTCTTCGGCAGATGATTCAGGGCAGATATTTCTGAAGCTAGAGAGGTTGAAAACTTTTGGTGATAACCTAAGAGCCTTTTAGTATGACTCAGCATTAAGACACATGCCTGGATGCAAACTTTCCCCCAAATAAGTGGGATTTTTGGGGAGCTTTGTTCACAGCACTGCTGTAATAGAAATGCTGAAGTGTTCCTCAAGAGCTATGCCTGGTACAGGATGGAGGCATTCATCAGAGCTAGGGCTTGGATGTATTCTGTGCTTTAAAATATTTCCGCATCAACTTCAGCCAAACTTCTCAACGTGAAAGTCCAAGTTCTGTGGCCAGTGTCATTCCTGCAATTCTCACTTTTGCCTCATGTATTCTGCATTGTCTACTGTAAACTTGACAGTGATGCACAATGTATTCTGCTCTTGCAGTATGATAGGGGCTGCATATTCAGCAGGTGCTAAGCAGGGGTGATTCCTGGTTTTCGTGGCGTGTGTGTCCTTGTGCACGATTCCCTCTGCCCTGGATGCACCCACTTCTCCTTACTAGTGTTGCTACTGACGTTCCTTTCCCCTCTGGCCTAATCCATACTGCAATCCATGCCACTCTGGAAAGTGGTGGGGAGGATTGAACAAGTTTATGAGGCTACAGCTCCTTTCTGCTTGGTCTCTCAGGGAGAGCAAGTGGCCAGACACAACAGCAAGCAGATGCCGGCCAGGAGGCTGCAGGAGTTGGCAGCGACCCTTCCTCTAGGATGTGGGCCAACCAAGCCCACCTTTAACTCAGCTCTGCTACTAAGGCCCCACCTTCTCAGAAGGGTCCACACTAACTCCAGACTGCCATTGCTGTTCTCATTGCCCTTGTTTGTTCAGCTGCCCACCTACTAGCTGAGGTGTGGGTGCTGATGAAGAAAGGTGTGTGGTGCATGTGTGTGTGTGTGCATGTGTGCGCGCGTGCCTTTACCCTTGGGGGGGGGAAAGAACATTAAGTAATTTTGAGTGGCACACATCCTGGAATTACAATCCCTGGCATATTGTCAGGGGACTGGGCAGAGAGGAATGGTGGAGACCCTTCCAGAGAAGGAAGAAGATGATAGTTCAGAATTACAACAGGGTTTGAGGGAGGTCACATCTCAGAGAAGATGAGAGGAAAAGTTGGGAAATAATGGGAGAGGAGGAGGAGGCAGAGCCGGAGCAGCTGGCTGACACGTTATCACTAGAAAGCATTCCAGATCCACCATCTCCCAGAACCCAGCGAGCCTTAAAAGTAGGAGAGCAAAGAGCTCAGAGACAGATGGCCCTAAGCGGCAACCGTAAGGAGGGTGGTGCTGTTGACAAATGAAGTGGGAGAGAAGGGTAGGGGAGATTTACTCGGGACAAGGCCATTATTCCAAGAGGCTGCATTCCCAAGCCTCTCTCTGTAAATATTGAATAAAAAGCAGATGGCAAGGACTTTTCCTGGTCTTCTCTGTTCCTGGCAACCTGCCGTGGGGGTTGGTTCCTCTGCCGCCTGACACATGTAGACTCTATTCCTAACCCCAAACAAGTCTGAAGTATATACAGTGGTACCTCAGGTTAAGTACTTAATTCGTTCCGGAGGTCCGTACTTAAACTGAAACTGTTCTTAACCTGAAGCACCACTTTAGCTAATGGGGCTTCCGCTGCTGCTCGCGCCGCAGAGCCCGATTTCTGTTCTCAATCCTGAAGCAAAGTTCTTAACCCAAAGCACTATTTTGGTTAGCGGAGTCTGTAACCTGAAGCGTGTGTAACCTGAAGTGTATGTAACCTGAGGTACCACTGTAGTGATGTGTGCACATGGCTATGTGTGGAAAGGCACTCTCCACATGCTCAGAGTGATATGTTCCCATCACTGGAGGACGACCTCTGGCATCAAAAAAGCAGGTTCTGTGTGGCTCTGTCCTGTGCCTCAGAGTCCGTGTGAGGATAGTGTGATTAAGGCAGAGCTGTGCAACCTGAGGCCAACGTCCCATGGTAGAAGTGGGGAGAGTGCTGTTGTGCTCAGAGTGCGCGCCTGGGCTTCCCAGAGGCATTTGCTGGCCACCAGGAGAACAGGATGCTGGCTTAGATGGCCTGTTGGCCAGGCCCAGCACAGCTCTCCTTAAGGCCCCATCGTCCCTGACCACTGCTTTGCCCATGTCTGGCTGGACTAGCAGTCGGTTCAATTTCTGTACAAAGCTTCCTGGGGTGAGCAATGAGCTAGTCATGATCCCTTAGCCCAACCAGGGCTCTTGTAAGAATAAAATGAAGACAGGGACCCTGTGCATCACCTTCAGCTCTTTGGAAGAGAAGGTGGGAGATGGACATAATGTTAATCTCCCTTCCTTTCGTTTCCTACCCACGCTTTATCATAAGGTCCCAGAGTGGTTTACAACAATAAAAAAGCAATTACGGTATAAAACTAATAAGAATAAGAATACTAATACTGCTGAAAATAACTCACTTCAGTAATGACATTTAAACCCTCACATCTGCAGCTTTGCTCCGTTTTCGGGGGGGGGGCGTGGAGAAAAATGAGGAAAATGCACTTGGCGCATGTCAGGGAAATATGTACCTTTCTTCTAATTCATGTAGGGCAGCACTTGGCAGTCAAGCCAGTTCTGGGCCTGAGTCCTGGCTGAAAAGAAAAACAAGCACCCACTCTCTCCGCCCCGGGCTCCTTTTTTATTTTTGCAGTGACAAAGTTCGCAGGGTTTTGTATGCTTTGGCATCCTTCCGCGCCTCCTGCTTTCCTTCACGACTGCTTGGCAATCAAGTCGAAGCTAAGAGTGACATTTTGCGTGCACATCACACACGCAACAGACCTGAGCCCATGCACACCAAGTGGCAGTGCTCCTGAAGTGGCACCTGCCCCTTTAAGAGAGGAGCCGGGGTGACGCGGAGCGAGACTGTTGCTGTTGCAAGCAAAAGCTGAGCTGTGTTTTTTGGCGTGAGCTGCCTGCTGCTGCTGCTGCTGCTGCGGAGCGCAGCTATCAATCTTCCCTGCTCCCCACCCTCCCCGGATCTCAGAAAGAATGAGGATCTCAAACTTGGTGCTTTGCAAAGGCTCCAGAAAGGGAATCTGGAGGAGTTGCTCCTGCCGCCGCCGCCGCCGCTGTTCCTCTTCCTGCTGCTGCTGCTTGTAGGTTCAGACATCTTAGAAAAAGAGGAGCGATTTCCGGGCACTCGGAGCAAGAGGCACCCGGACTCGCTCGCTCCGCTTTTGGATTTACAATACACGCCAGGCAGATGGCGAAGGAGGAGAACCGGAGGCGCCTTTTGCTCTTCCTCCTGGGATTGATTTGAGGAATATATTTTAATCGCTGTTTATCGGATTTGCTTTCTTCCTCGCTGTTTTTAAAAATATTATCTTAAACATTTTTTGTATTGTAACCTCGGAGGACCCCCCCCTTTCAAGCTTTTCTACTTCGCTGATCTTTCTGAAACTGGAGCGAGAGAGGAATTTGAAAACAACACACACACACAAAAGGGATTAACAGTTAAAAAGCAGCGATGGAGGGAAAAGCAGCTGGTTTTGCAAGAAGGTAAGGCGGAGGAAGATTGAAGGGGCGCCTCCTGGTCCCCTTTCCCCAAATCTCGCCCCCACCCCACCAGTCAGTCTCTTTCAGTGCTAAGAGGGCAGAAAAATTCGGATAGATCAACGCCGATCTCTCCCCGCCCCCAGTCTCGATCGTTGCCTCTGAGATGTCGGGAGTCTTGCCTATTATTATTATTATTTAAAAAATATATTTGGATGTGCAACGGAGATGACGATATCAAAGCAATGCATTTTTGAAAATCGGGCGGCGGGGGGGGGGAGATATTGCACGAGTTCCTGCGTGTAGGAGGAGTAACGGGGGGGGGGAGAGAAGGCGAAGCAAATCCCAGAATTCAAAACACAACAAAACACCCCCTTGTTCCGCCTCGGTCTTCTCCGCCTCAATTTCTCCTTTCCTTGTGGATCTACTAGAAAATTCCCTGGAAGTGCTGTGTGTGCGCGGGGGGGGGGCGACCCTGGGATTCCCTTCAGGTTGGACGGCGCCCCCTCCCCCGCCCGCCCGCCCAGTATTTAATTTGTGTTTAATTTTAATTTTACGCGTGTCTTGGACGTGGTGAGATAGTTTCCAGCCCTCAAACTCTGGGAAAGTCTTCTAGCGCCTTGATCCTGCCCTCTTCGACTTAAGTTCTGATAGATTCCAGCAAAGTTTACTTGCGAGCAAGGCTCCAGCCCGGCCCAATTCTCACTTGGCTGAAATCCGTGGGACTTGATTCTTTCTTTGCTTAGGATTCGACGGCGCACTCGGAAGAAAGAGTTTACACCCAGGTAAGCGTGGGTAGGATTGCAGCTTGGCAGTGACTCCGAAGCTGCGCTGGTTTACGTCGGTGCAAGCCTCACATGGTTGTGTGTGTGCGGCGGACGGGGGCAGATTGACCCAAGTCAGGATCCAGCCGGCTTTGGAGCCAAAGGCCAGGATTTTGATCCCTTAACTTGCGACTAAAAGTTGCATCCAAGTCTTTGGAGCTTGTTTCCAAGAGAGGCAGCTTACTTGAGAGTAAGACCGGTTGATCTTGGTCTGGCTTACTGTTGCGTAAACATGTAGATAATGGGGTTGTGGGCCTGCATGGAGAAAGAGAGAGAACGTACCAGAAATGCATTTAACTGAACTTGTGCTGTCTCAGTTTCTCAATCTGGCGGAGGCCATCATGAGGGAGGAAAGTGGCAAATGGTGTCCTTTGCGCTCCTGAACTCAGGGAAAGAAAGTGGTTCCCCATCTGGAATGGTAAACACATACTAGAATTTCAGAATCCAGAGCAAATAGGTGCCAATTCGTGTGTGCTTTTGGTTATTCAAGAGTAGAAAATGCAGGCAGTTATGTGGCTGAAATCACAGTCCTTTGTGATCAAAACACGCCTGAGACTTGTCTCCTTTTTCCTCAACAACATTTGCAAAGGGAACTCTTCAAGTGGGCCGGGGACTGGCACAGCTTCTACTCTTACCCCTTTCTTTCCTCCTCTGGTCACCCAAATGGTGGTTCCTTTTTGCTGGCATTTTGTTTGTTTATGTCTCCAGTTTCCTTGATGAGGGTTTGGTGGCAAGGAGCCACTGGGCTGCTTATTTTTCCAAGCCATGGCCACATGGCAAACTTGTGACAGCAAAGCCAGAGATTTGGGTTCCTGGAGGAAGGGCTCTCCCAAGGTTTCAGCTGGCATTTGGGCAACCTTGGTCCTTTGGAGGAGGCCCTGTCCTGTCTCTCTTGCAGTCAGAAAGCTTCTCTGAGTAAACTCATCTTCCTTCATTAGTTTGCGTGCGCACCCTGTGGGAAAACAATGCCTTTGTGGTGAAACACAGCTTTGGTTCCTGTTTTGATAAGGCATCGAACATGCTTCTGTGTTGACTTCGGTGGTTGATATATAAATATTGGTTGAGAAAGTGAAGTTGGATTTCTGAGCATCTGTGTTTGTAGGAAGAAACTCAGAATGCTCTTGCACTCGGGTTGTGTTGGTTTTTTGCTTTTGAGGTTTCTTCTTTCCCACTGTTCCTAACTCTGCTGCCTTTTTACATTTTTCTTCTTGCTTCTTGGCCTGCACAAAGTACAGTTGGCAGGAGACTCAGTCCAAGACTCCCATCTTGGAGGCAGCTGCCCCCTATCCCTAGCTGAACCTGCCGCTTGGAGGGACTTCAGGCTTGAGACCCGGGGTGCCTTTTTTCATTTCCTGCCTATGTGAACCAAACAACAAATGCACCTTCATCTTTACTGGGTTGGCAAGCTTTTCCTATCCCACGTTCCTGAATAGTCTAGATACGGTGTCTTGTCCCAGGGCTTCATACAGTATTTTGTCTGCAACATTCTCTTCTAGAGGAAATTCCTACAGTCATTTATGAAAGCTGCAGGCAGCCTTGAGTTGTGTGGGGGCAGGAGTTCTGCTGTTTGACCCTATATTATTCCTACTTCCCCAAGGAGCTTTATAGGCTCTTACCTCAGCCACACAACTCTTTATTGTGATTGGTTGCTGCCTTTTCTTTTCCCTGCATGTAAACACCTTAGCAAGTTTTGTCAGGGTGGAAAAACATACTTGCAGTCTCCTCTCCTTGGCCCCATCTGCACTATACATATTTTTTTTTTGCACTATACATTTTAAACAATATCATACCACTTTAAACAGCCTCCAAAGAATTTTGGGAACTGTAGTTTGTTAGGGTGCTGAGCGTGGTAAGGAAACCCCTATCACTATCCAAAGTTACAATTCTCAGAGTTGTTTAATAATCAACCCCGCTGATCAGGGAATTTGGGGGATTGTAGTTCTGTGAGGGTTTAGAGGAGGGCGAGGCAGAAGGTAAGGATTTCTAGGTGATTTGTAGAGTATCTGCAAGAGCCTCTGATTCCCAACTGAGCAGCAGCAACAGCAACAGATCATCCCCAACATATCAACAAGTAGGCTGTAAGAAAAAGAAGGCTTAGGGGGAAACCAGGATTGTATTTTTGTTTGGGAAAATACATGCTAGCTTGGTTCTGGTACTGATTACCAAGTCCTTGACTGAGTGCTCTGTTTCTTAATTTTTAGTGTATACCTCTCTGCTTTGATCTACTACTTTCAGTGTTTAAAACTAGCCAGGCACCAGGCGCGTTTTGCAACTGACGAGGGTCCATTTGCAACCACATGAAGATCTCTGGACGCCAGGTTGGGCAACTGGGGAAAGCAAAATGTCACTTTGAGAAGAATCTGAAATATTTTCCTTGAAGCTTGAATTAATTTTATTCTGAATTGTTTTATTTGATGTTTTAATGTGTTGTAAACTGCTTTGAGATTTGTTGTTTAAAATATAAAGTGGTATAGAAATGCAAATAATAAATAAATAAATAAATCTCATTGGGGTATGGAATGGTGCCTAGGCATTCCATGGTGGTGACTGAGGCCTAGGCTCAAGGTGCCATTTGGCAGTTAGATTAGCTAGTTTCTAACACTGACTACTTTACACCTGACTACAACTGGTGGAAATCGGGGTTCTAGTAAGAAAGAAGGAAAGAAAGAAGTACAGTCGTACCTTGGAAGTTGAACAGAATCCGTTCTGGAAGTCCGTTTGACTTCCAAAACATTCAGAGACCAAAGCACGGCTTCCAATTGGCTGCAGGAAGCCCTGTTGGACGTTTGGCTTCCAAAAGAACATTTGCAAACCGGAACACTCACTTTCCAGTGTTCGGGAGCCAAAACATTCGAAAACGAAGCCGTTCGAAAACCCAGATATGACTGTAATCCTTGGAAGGTGGTGGACTCTCCTTTCTTGAAGGTTTTAGACAGAGGCTGGATGGCCATCTGCCAGGCATTCTTTAGCTGTGGTTCCCAGATTGTGGGGGGGGGGTTGGACTAGATGACCCTGGGGATCCCTTCCAACCCTACAGTTCTGTGATTCTGTGATTCTATTCTGTAACTCTGAGGTCTGGACCAATTGTCTTCTCAATATAAGCTGACTTATTTTGCTGAGGAATTGTTCTGTTTGCTGTGGAAAATTGTGGAAAATTCTGGAGAATGTTTGGGACAGAATGCTCACTTCATGTGGAGGCTGGTGAGGTCTGTTTGGACTTTGCATTGTCCTGTGCACTCCCTGTCCACACATCTTGGGAGCAGCCCAACTAGATGGTGTGGGCGAATTGTCATCCCCCCAAAAAACCCCCTTCCACCATTAAATGTTCCTCTTCACCCCAGGTTCCTTGGAAACCTAGTTTGAAACCACAGCTCACTTGTGATGCGCGCCTGGCTCAAAGGGAGACTGTTGGCCTCACAGCGGTATAAAGTACAGTCAGGGCACAGGTTGTTTCAGGACAGCATGCAAATGACTGAACTTTTTCTACAAGTTCAGGTAATTAACCTCTGTGAGGTGTGTTACCTGCTGCAAAGGCACTGTTTGGTCTGTCCTTCCTTGAGTGGTGCCTCTTGGAGCCAGATGTGAAATTCTGTAGAAGCCTGCTTAGTGCTGGTGACTTTTGTGTTCTGTTATTTTGCGAACATAAAATAAACACATGTCATGTTTTGCAATTCCTAATCTGCTTTTATGGGTTTGAACTCTACTCTGACTCCTGCTCTTGTTTTGGCATGGAGCTTGCTAACAGGTTGCCAAATTGCTGGGAATAGACTGTGTCTATATGTATTTATTAATTATATGGCTTCAGTATGTAAAGCAGGAAGTTGGTGTCTGGACTTCTGAAATTTATTGCTGATTCAGGTGTAATTTATGAATCCACCACTGCATCTAAGCAGATTCTTCGTTAACTCTGTATGTATGTATGTGCAACTTATATATATTGTTTCCAGGCAATACAGTTATACCTCATGTTACGTTTGTTTCATGATACATTTTTTCAGGTTGCGTCCTGCAGCGGCCCGGAAGTACCCGAAAGGGTTACTTCCAGGTTTTGCCGCTCGCGCATGTGCAGACATGCAAAATGACGTCATGCACAGAAGCGGCGAATTGCGACCCACGCGTGTGCAGACATGGGTTGCGTTCTTTTCAGGTTGCGAACGGGCCTCCGGAACGGATCCTGTTCGC